GCGATCATGATTGCAGCAACACCCAAGCTGTAAGGTCTGAAGTGGGAACCCGAAACCCGGAGAAGGGTCTCTCACAAAGCAATCAGAGCCCCAAAGCCGAAACTCTTGAGATGGAACTGTTACCCCCGCGTAAACCTAGACCTGAATAAAAACCTTGCAACCCGAAGCCCTCCTTCGCCCTCCTCAAAAACAGGTGGTTCCGAACGCCTGCGCGGTTCCAGCTTGGACGAGCCTCTGCGGCCACATTTGTTGCAGTCCAACGGTCGAATGGGGTCTCTCGAATCATGCCGAGGATGTATGTCTATAATTGGTGCAAATAGGGGATTGGCTCAGCATGTTAATTTGTGTTCTCAGCATCATTATCAGCATCTGCCGCACTTCTCCTTGGCAGGCATTGTTTTCAGTCATGACATCACTGCTTAGCCGTTGTGACTGATGACACTATGATCTCTTGCTCTTGTTGACCCTGGCCCGAAACCCACTAGAACCCTGAACCCCTAAGGCACTAAATCGTAAGCCCGGCTTCCTCGGGCAAGGACGCCGAAGCGCGAGGCTGCTCATGGCCGTAGAGCTCCGGCGACCCTTGGCAAATAAACATAGGACAATTCCCTATAGTCTCCGTTGTAGTTCCTTTTTTTGGGTTTAACCAATTTTATATTAAGGATCCTAAAAGGTAACCCCCAAAAAGGAACTACAATGGAGACTACAGGTAGGTTAGAACGACAGAGGACTTCAAGGGTTTGGGGCCAGGGGTTCAGTCGGAGGATGGGGTTTAGGAGTTTAGGGTTTGGGGTGTCAGGATTTAGCAGTTTTGGGCCATGAGATGCAGACCGCATTTCTGAGCAGATTATCATGTATGCTGATATGATGCGTGTGTTAGAATCTACCCGAATCTACATGTTGCTATTCCTCTTGTAGCTTCGCCGGCCCATGCACGGGTTTTGTACTGCTGTCTGAAATCAGGTATACCATGTGGGATGCTTTTAGGTCACGCCGGCTGGCATGCATGCAGTCTGATTTTGTGCCCCGAGCTTTACACTTGCCCTATGCGGGACGCTATCGCCCAACCTGAAAGCGCTAGAAGGCAGTGTCCAAGCTGTGAGGCTGTACAGTCCTTAAACCTTGAATCCCAAAGCCTAAACGCCCCAAACTAAGATTTTTAAAAAGAATAACCCCCAAAACTCTTCAAGCCCCAGAGCTCGGAATGGAAGGCTACTTTTGCATGGCCACCCTGCGGGAAGAAGTTCTTGAGCTGCCCCGCTTCCGCGCGCTTTGCCGACGAAGGGGCCGCCCGACCAAAGCGACAGGGTTTAGGGCTTAGGGTTCAGGGTTTAGGCTTTCGGGTTTAGGGGTTAGGGTTTAGGGTTTAGGGTTTAGGGACCCTACGGAACCAGGCTGTTTGGGTTCCCACACAGAACACTACAAACACTACGCAGCCAGCCCTAGGCACGTTCCCACATGACAGCCGAAGCCTCGCACCTGCGAACTGAACAAAGAGAAAAGGAGAGAAAGCGACAGAGAGAGCTTAGAATGCTGTTTGGTTTAGAACAAAGTCTATCTCCATGGATCGTCTTTTACTTCAGCGAATCAAGGCTCCTCAACCCTAAGCCCTAAGCCTAAAAGCCCAAAGCCCTAAGATACCAAAAAGCCCTGACAAGCCTTGAGGTGTCGCTAAGCCTGTTTAGCTTGCTGCATATGCGAGAGATACGAACAACCCGAGCCCACTTCGTTGATGCCGATGCAGGTCACGGCTGTGTCTTGAAACACTAGGCCCTAAAGCGCTAAGCGCTGAAACCTCTCGAGCCCGCAGGCCTTCAAATGTGCGTAACCACTGGGCGCAGTCCGAGTGATCTTCGGGGGAGGGTTGGACTTGGGGAAATGTGAGAAATTGTACCCTTATTGTTGAGGGCTTCATGGGAACTCAGTGTAGCCGCACTGAATCCCAACATCTGAACTCTGAGCAGTTAACGTAACAGGAATCAGTCGAAGGGACCTTCAGGGAACACAGCGTGCATTTGTAGGTCGACAGGGCTAGTTGTCGATGACCGAGCTCCTCAAGCACGGTTGGTTCTGCAGTGAGACAGTGTAGCCATGCAATAACCAGCTCAGCCTTACGGGGAGGAAATATCTTGGCCGGACTTGCTTCATTGACGCAGATAGGGAGGGTTGTGAGCAGTCAATCAAACTGGAAAGCTTCAACCCCGTCAGTAGCTAAGGCACCCAGCGACCATTTATACCCATATTATAGAGGCCTGAATAATTACTTATACTATTTTGGGGTTCCTTATTTTGTTTATAGTATAATCTACCCGGAAGCCTTATTCTAATTACTAAGGCCCATACACTACCGAGCCAGAAGCACTCTTTGGGTCAGGAGCCCAAAACCCAAGCCTTCGGAGACCTCACTCAGCAGTGGGGGTGGGTATCCTTTAGCCTTTTTTGGGGAACGAAAATTAGTCGAAAATTTCCTTTGGGGTACGAAGATCCTTAGATAATCCCAAAAGTTCACCTCTCGTTTTCCTCGGATAGTGGCCAGGCAACCTATAGGCACTACAGTCGAGGCTTCTCGTGCAAGCGCCTGGCTGCAGCTTCCTTGCCGACCCATCTCGCGGTCCCGCGGCCGCGTGACTCGGCGCAAAGGGACCTGGCGGCTTTTCAGATCTTAGGTTTCGGGGCTGTGGGACTTGTAGGAGGTTTGAGGATTTGAGGCTGTAGGGCTCGAAGTCAAACAGCTTACGAATGTAGAGTTTCAGTGCGTAGTGCTTGGGGCTTTAACAGAACCTTTAGATCCAAGGCAATGTTGCGATCTTCTCTGTTCGGCTCAGCCGTCGCTCTTCCATCGCACACCGGAAGAAGAGGACTTCGCCGTGCGTCGGGATGGCGGGCTTTGACTTTCCGGAGCAGTTGCTACTTCAGAGACTTCTGCTGCTTCATGATCCACGCTTGCTTCAGGGCTGTAGTATTTGTAACTTCGCAAGCTAAACCGAAAACCAGTGCGAGTGTGAGAGAGTCGAAACCCGAAGCCAGAGGAGTTTGAAGCTTAGACTCTTTGACGCGGTGACACCACCTAAACCCTAAACCAGAAGGAGGAGGCGGGCACAGGCCAGATGTGGACTGTGCGGCGGAGATGAATGCGAGGCAAGCAGCTTCTTTACAGGGCTTCAATTTCTGTCCTGCATGAGTGAGGTTTCGAAAGCTGCGGATAAGATCCCCCAACCACCACTTGCCCTGCTGTGGACCAGGCTCGGCTTCTAATCCCTGCTGCCTCTTTCCCCCGAAGCGCTCTGAAGCCAGAGGTGGCATCTCCGAGTCGGGGAGGCTGAGATGGACAAAGTCCCAAGCCAAAGCAGCGAAGTTCCGCCGGTGATGTGATTTCCTTCGAGCAGTCCCTGAAGGCCCGGAGGTGGAGATTCCAAGGCTGCGAAGCTTGACCTGCAGCCTGGGCCGTGGGACGCGATGACGACCTCCGCCACCATGACCACGACGCACAGGATGGCCGGCACGATGTTGGACAGACCACTGCAAGAGGACGAAGCATTGCAATGCAGTATGGACCAAGTGGCACGGCGGGAAGCGAAGCAGAAGCAAGAAAGAAGCGAAAGGTGCCAAAAGGTCCGGGTGCAGCAATCTAATCGGCAGAAGGCCAGGACTCAAGTGGACAAGTTCCTACAACACGACAGCAATCACAGTGACAGCTTCGATGTCAGCGTGGCCAAAAAATCGTCTGGCGGTCCTGTACCGAACCTATCAACGTCATTTCGCAGCAAAGAAGAGAGACTGGCACATGGTTCGTTTGGTCCTCCACTTCGGCGCAGACCCCTTGCATGGACTCAACTGAGACGACCACGACTGCTGCTAGGGGAGCCTCTGTCAGTGGATTGTGCCTTACATCCGTCTTTGGCGTGATTAGCACGGCTATCATCGGAACTGTCAGGTGACCAACCACCCTGTAGACGTCCTCATCAGTTTACCTCTCCATCTGCCTGCCTCGCTTGGAAGAAGAGAAATTTTGCGCTGAACTGCTTCAGATCCAGTGCGACTGTGCCAACCGGGCCTCGCATGTTCTGGGAGCCACAGACCTGAAGAACCCCCTTTTTTCACAACGGACTCGGCTGCTGCCCTTACCGCGGAATCCTAAATCCGAAACACAGACCTGAAGATCGTAAGCCTGGCCTGGTGAGTGGCATTGCGAGCTGGCCGCGGCGACGAGCTGGAAAAAACATGTCCAGTGGAAGGCGTGGGCATTTTTTCTGAGTGAAGACTGCTTCATGGCCAGAGACGGTTCATGTAGTGCCGCATTGCCGTTTTGTGTCAAAGATGCCCCTTCAGCACTGTTCCAAGAAGGTTTGTACGACTGAGACTTGAAGGAGAGACACAGAACGCCTGCCGCCCATTGTTGTCTACGGAGCATATGTGGGCCTACCGGAGCATACGTGGGCCAACTGTCCACAAATAGTTCCCTGAACCCTAAACCCTAAACCCTTAAATGGGCTTGTCCAAGTTGTGACTGTCCACAAGTAGTTCCCTAAACCCCAAACCCTAAACCTTAAACCTTGAACCCTAAACCCTTAAATAGGATTAAAGAGTCCGGAAATGGAGCTGGCCAGCAGCTGCCACGGTCAGTCCAGGAGTGTTTTGGCTCGAGCAGACTGTGGGACTTTGGGTTAGATTCCTATCTCTTGGCTCTAGTACACTTTGGGTTCTTCGTTTTAGGGTTGTGGCCCGTGCCAACATAATCCGTATCCATGCGACTCCACCAAGCTTCACGCAACTTAACGGCTTGGCTGCGCAGGATCACCCTGCAGAAGCTACAGCTCTGGGGATCGATGCAGTGTCTTATTCCCGAGGTTTAGGGCTCAGGGCTGATCAGCAGAGTCTGGGTTCAAAAGAATAAAAAGGGGTTTCGAGTGCCGTGGGCATGTCACTCCGTCGTAATTTTCGGAGGATATGGGGTTTAGGCTTAGGGCTTAGGGCTTAGGGGACTTCAGAGAAAGTCTGCCATGGCGACGAACCGACATGTGCTTTGGCTGGTGCTTGCCGCTGTGATTTTCGATTACTCTTTCGTGACGATGATGCGAGTATGTCTTCCCTTCCATGCGAAGGCTTTGGGTGGCTCCAGCACCATGAGTCTTGCCAGCAACCCTAAACCCTAAAAACTAAACCCTAAACCCTAAACTGTGGCTCTGAGCATGAGTCCTTCTGCCACAACCCTTGGCCATTGCTGTTTCTGTAGCTTCCGGTTAGGGGATGTTTGGGCCAGGCGGTTTTGGGCAGTCTGGTGTGAGGCAGCAAACCCGGGGACCCCAAATTCACAATTCTACACCGTACAAGGGCCCTACACCCTGTAAATCCTAATCCCAAAGCCCTCAACCATAAATTGTCGGAGCCCTCAGCCCCGTGACTTCGCTGTCTACTCGTTTGCAGGCGTGAGCTGTTTTCTGGCCCTTGTCGTCGCTTCGGGGCAGACGGGGGTTGGAATTCGCAGAAAGGCCTGTATTCATCTGAAAGGGCACCCCAAACCCTTTCTCCTAGTCTTGTCATCAGACCTCGCCTGGACTCGTCCCAGTGCAAAGCGTGGAAAACCCGAACCTATATGAACCCTTAAACCATGGACCCGAGACCCTGAATCCTAAACCCTGAAGCCGAAACCCTAAACCTTAAAGCCTCAATCCTGAACTTTGAGGATCGGGAGCTTGGAGACTGTCTATGGCCTCGGCCAATGGATCGGTGCCATCGTGCTGCCTCGGCTCTCGGACAAATGGGGGAGGAAGGCCAGCGATGCCCTTTACTTGGGAGGTTCATGGGTAGTTGTAAGTAGGGTTATTAGTAGCGTAACTGTAGTTATAAGCCATATTAGGGGACTTTTAACCCTACTTATAACTACCCATGAACCTCCAAGTAAGGGGTTCCCTGAGATCTAGACAGGCGCTAAGTAGGATGAGGGGTCTCAGAAAAAAAGATGTCTTTCCGGTTTGTAGGACTTCTCGCAGGTGTCCTTGGGGTTCTGCAAGGGTTCTTTTGGTAACTTGGGGGGCACCCGAAACTCTGCCAAAGAGCCAAAGCGTGTAGCCAGACTGCGAAGACGCCTTTTGCAGGCTTCAAACACCGCAGCCCTAAACCGAAACCCCCACGCATAGAGGGGCACTCAGATTTATTTACGGTGCATTGCTTCATGAAGGTGCTGTGGGGTCTCTGGGTGGATGCAAACAACCCAGCACCATCCGAACACGCAAGGCGCTTGATCACGCTTGCTTTTGGCCGGGTGGTATACCAAGCAACCGAAGCAAGCATCGACACATTCGTAGCCAAAGCTTGTTTGCATTCCTGTGGTTCAAGTCATAACTCGCCCGGCTTCTAAAAGCAGATAGGCAGCAAAGAGCCTGGGCATTCAAGCCTAGGTCTTGGCTCTGCCCTAGGTCCTTATGGCCACAGTAGGCTGTCGAGTCCCGACCCCCCAACCACCTAAACCTATCCGGAGCCCTGAGCCCTAGAGCTAGCAGAGAGAGAGAGAGAGAGAGAGAGAGCCACAGTTGATTCATAAAGACGGCACCACGTCCCCAAGGCATGTAGCAGGAATTCCAGCGGCCAGGATCCTTAAGGAAGTAAAGATGGTTTAGTACTCATGGGCCTAGTTCCATTCTCTCCCAAGCCTGTAACAAACCAATGAGCCTATGAGCAAAAGAGAACAACTTCGGTGGGTTCCTGAACCCTCATCCCTAAAACACCCTAAAGAACCCTAAAACAACCTAAAAAACCCAACAGTACAGGGTTTCGACTAAGGTCCCCCCCCCCAGCCGCAGGTGATTCTGGTCTTGTGTAGTGCCTGTGCAGCATGTGGCTACGGGCTGGCCTCTCATCTTTGTTAAGTTTGAGAGGCTCACCTCCATAGCAGAGATGGCAGTTTCGGATGAACAGGATCCAGCCATGGACCTTCAGCCACTCTCCAATATACTTATGCTCAAACTACAACTCAAGCATGATGTAACCATGCAGATGCTGCTAAGATAGCTTTAATGACTCGTAAAATAGTTATAGTTGCACTCTAACCATGCCATAGCTATCGCAAAACAAGCCACCACAATTTCCTGCAAGCTGCGCAAGGCTTTGCTGGGCCTGACCCTGGCCAGCCCTGGGCTGCTTCTGATCAGCCGGCTCCCGGTGGGCCTGGCGAAGCAGAGTCGTGGCTGAAGTCGGGGGGGGGGGGGATTCCGTAAGAAGCGATTACGGATTCAGCCAGTCGGGATCTCCTAAACCGGGTACCTACAACTCCTCTAAGTAATGCTCAGGCAGAATTGGATGCAAAAATAGGACTGGCGGCTTGCTTGTTTGTTTCGGTAGACTACGATTTCGACATGGCACGAGGCTTTAGCACTTGATGCGATGTCGTTGTTTGAGTTTTTGGTTGGCTGTCTGGCTTCTGAACCTTAGTCCTTTGCAGCAGCGCCAATCGACGATACCTTCCTTTAGAGGTTTCGGGTTCGCATGTGGGGATATCAGAGTCATTGAGTTGCAAGGACGGTCACCGTCAGCCGCGCAGTGGTCGCGGACTGCACAGAGGCCCCTTCCGCATGGTGTAGCCCCCGATCCAGAAGATTCAATTTGTACTTGTCATATGTAGGGCGTGATAGATAGGCACGGAGACGGCTCTGGCGGGTTTCCAATGCTGGGGCAAAACTGGCCGCTCGAAACTTAGCTTGGACTGATTTTTTTCAAGCGGTTCTACACTGTTCACCCTCAACCCCAAGGCCTTCAGCAACAAGGCCAAAGCCTACAGCAGTGCCTATAAGATGTCGACAAGCCGTGCCGCGATGCGCCTGCCAGGCCACTGGCGACCGCTCGCGGTGGATGGCCTACCAGTGCACTGCCCTTGCGCCCCTCGGTCGATTTGACGTTGAGGGCTTGGTATGGAAGCTACAACATGACCACATGGTTGTCCTTTTCAGAGGTGTTGAATGAAGAATAGAACAAAGAGCTGAAGGCACAGTCTTGCAGGGATCCCAAAAAGAGTTGCGGTATAGGGCCCCGTCTGCATTCCATACAGAACGTCCGTCCACCTGTCTGTGTGTTTGCCTCTCTGTCTAGGAGCTTGCGAACTTGCTGGAACTAGATGTCTTCAATGTATCTGACAGCAGTTAGATGATTCGGCACCAAATCGCATTTCAGTTTCCCGGATTCCCTGTCCCGTCTACACAACCCAAAAACGCTACCATCGCTCAATTCCCGGCCTCCCAGCTTTGAAAGAAAAGGGAGTTTCCGAAAATAAGGGGAGGGGTACCTTAATTTGGGGTCCTTATAATAAGGATCCTACTACTTATTTAGGGTATTATATGAGGGTCCCCTATTCTCGGAAACCCCCATGTGTAGAGTTTACGGTCCCTCCCTCCAGCCATGCGGGGGCGTCGCTCTGCGATGTTACAGTAGCAAGCGCGGACCTTCATCAGCCATGCCAGCCTTGTGCGAGTGTGTTTGTCGAAACCCTAAACCCCTAAACCCTAATTATTTCTGTTATTATTGTTCGTGTTCTTATCGGATGCCCGGATTCCAGGACCGGCTGCACGATTGGACCTCTGCTGGCCTCCCAGGAGGCCACTCGAAAAGTATTAAATCAAATCCCAAGCCCGAAATAACACTCTCTTAGGGGTTTAGGGGTTTGGGGTTTAGGGTTTCGGGTTCCCACCTTGCCGTGACCGAGTCATGGAATGGAGGAGGCAAAGTACAACAAAGCCTGAGCGCCAAACCCGAAGCCGTAGGTTCGTCCTGGCAGCCAGCCGAGGGACAAACGGAATTGAACCCCAACTCCTAAATGCCAAAGCCTTAAAATCCCTAGCATTCCTTACCCTTACACCGGCATCCCAATAAGCATTAAGTCCCGAGGCCCTAGAAGCTAAGCATAAACCTTAAACCCTAAACCCTAAACCCCAAACCCTAAACCCTAAACCCCAAACCCTAAGCCCTAAACCCCAAACCCTAAACCCTAAACCCCAAACCCCAAACCCTAAACCCTGGCTCGTCCTTGCTAAGTGGGAGGGAAAAAAACCCTAAACCCTAAACCCTAAATGTCATCTTTCTTTCAACCTCGCTAGTGGGCATAGATCCTCAGCCATGCGAGAGGGAAAAACCCTAAACCGGGTAGCTTTTCAACGCCTCAGCTGGCGGAGGCCCTCGGGGAGTTCGGCCCCATCGCCCTAGCCGCTGCCGTCTTTGCCGTGATCGCCCCTGTGGGATCCCCCAGCTTTTCAGGCTTTCTGATGTAGGGGCGAGAATAATTACAGTACCAATGCTATTGTGTGGTTCCTTATCTTCAGTATAGGATACTGGGCCCCCAAACCCGATTCTTATTATTGAGGCCCCTGAATTAGGACTTTTTGGGTGTGGTTTGGTGCATTTTCGGGATTCCAGAGTCCATAAACCCGGTGAAGGTTAAAGGTGACTAGTAGAGTCTACGAGCTTTTTCTTTCAGGCCCCGAGGCCATGAATTCCCCCTTGAATCTGCGGAAGACTGAAACTCCTGGCCCGTACCTCCCGAACCTTCCACATTGAGAGCGGTTGTCGTTTAGCCCTCCCATTTTTACTCTACTCCGCCGAGCTGTGAGAGTAGTCAGAAGCCCAAGGAAGCGTTGATTTTCAAAAGAAGCCCCTGAGACTCTTGTTTAGACCTACTGTTTTTGAACGCTTTAAGGTTTATGATTTACTCATTTTCCTGAGTTTTTAGGGACTTCTTGTCGGACTTCTTTCTCACAGCATAGTATCTGTCTGGTGAATCAGCCGAGTCTACTCGTCAGCTAACGACCTCTGCCTGGTATAGTCGATTCAAGTTGAAGATGTCAGGCCATGTCTACTAGCCTGTTCAGTACCCAGGCCGAAACCCTCAACCCTGAGGCCATGGTGCTGGTGCTTCCGGAAACCGCCCCGCAGAGGAACGAGAAAGAGAGCCAGGCCACTCCGCATGGGAAGCAGGGGTATGTAGAACTCCTTCAGGTTGGCGTGCCTATTGGAGGGCTCCTGTTGTTTATATTTCGTATCGGGGACCTACTCCCATATTAGGGTTTGGAGATCGGTATTTGCATACAGGCCCGCAATGGAATATTAAACCGTGGCTTCATGAAGACCTTGCATGAAAGTCACAGACGGATGGGAACAAACTCTCTCATGGGTTTTCCGAAAGTCACTTAGTCGTTTCTTTCTGCGGCACCTTGCTTTAGATTTTAAGGATTTGGGTTTGAGCTCTAGCGCTTATTCTGCCCAACACCTCTCTTACGACTAAGGAGGGACCCCATCGTTTCCGAACAGCACAGTCAGATCGCGCAAAGCTGCAATAAAAACAATCCGAACAACCTTACAACATAAACCCAACAGCCAAAACCTTGCAAGCCAAACCCTGAACCCTAAACCCTAAGCACCGAAACCCCTGATCAGGTTGCTCGAGTACCCCTCTGGCAGCAGAATGAGGCGCGAGAGCTCGTAGTTGAGGGGCTCGAGCTCTTCCATTATTGGCAACCGTAGATCTAAGACTTGGAGGATGTGAGCATGGGTTTAAGGTTTAGGGTTTAGGGAAGAGTTCTGGGGCTTGGGTGTTGAGGTTTACGGTCTAGAGGGTACTGGGCATGAGATTCTGACATGACGCCGGTGAAAGTCAAGGAAGAGTGGTGAACTTGATTCATGAGGGGCGGTGGTTAAGCCATAGCTCCTGCCGGGACTTCGTCCTACAGAGCTCTGAGTCTTAAGCCGCACAACATGAACAGGATAGACCCGGGGTGCAGGTGTGATCATTATGATTCTCATTTCTAGGTTGAACTGAGTACTAATGCTAACTTTTTGGGATGCTGATGATCATTATTCGTAGTATTGTTATTGTTATCATTATTAATATTATTGTTGCAATTTTGGTCGCAGGAGTCTTTCAAGATCTCGTTAGGTCCTGAAGGGCGGGATTCCCGGAAAAGCCTAGGCCTCAAACCCGTGGGAGTCCCACAAGCTGTGAGTCAAGCTCTGAGTCAGCTGAAAGCTCTTCAGCAAACCCCAAGGTGCTGATGATCTTGCTGCTCCTCGCCCTTCCCGAGCTTGGTTTGGTCTCGCACCAGGCGGGTAGAAGTAAAGGGTAGACCCCTGGGAAATAAGCCCCACTCCCTTGATGAGGGTTGCAGCGGGTATCGCTTTTTTCGGCCTTTATTTAAGAACGGTGGCTTATACCAGCGGGTCTGTGTGTCTTGTCTTGGGCCGTAAGCTGCAGAACACCTGAGGATGGTGGGGATTCTACAAGGTTTCTGTACGGGTTAAGGGTTCATGGGTTCAGGGTAGATTTCCAGGTTGTTGCTGCTTTTTGCATCTGCCTTCAATGTGTCTCGGTCGTGGTGAGCAGCTAGATCAAACCCTCCGCCTTCCCGATGTCTTCGAGGGATTGCGAGGACGTCTGAGGTACGCCCTGCCTGTGTTCCAATTGTACTTGGCTGTGGGGATATCGTGTGCGAACTCCAGTCAATTTGAAGCCATTTCTTGAAGTTTGTGTGCCCAGAACTCCTCTAACATCACTTTTTTTCCAAGTTGCGAGAGGTGTAGCAGCAACACCTCGAATCAGACAGCGCAAGCGAAGTATGGCCTTCAGCTTGCCACACTAGCCCATCCCACAGCCTTCCTTAGCCTGCCCGAAACCGCTGTCCCAACCCCCACAAACTCTAAGACCCTAGACCCTATGGGCGACTCGCCTGCTGCGGAGGGCGTGGCGCTGAACACCTACTCTATGAAGATTGGCATGGGCTGCTTGCCATGCGGAAACAGGTCTAAGTGGGGCTTAAGTACGGTTTAGTGTTTGGAATAATGTTTACTAACAGTAGCTCCTTAAGGGCTCGGTATCCTTCCATATATATATATATATTTTTTTTCTTTATATTTATTTGTTTATATGCATACCTACCCCAAGCCCATGTTCCTATCACCAACGCCCCTGCATGAGGCACTGTTGGCCTAAACGCTGTTAGGGTTTTGGGGTGTAATACCCCGAAACCCGTGTCCAATTGCTAACGGCCAAAACCCTAAACCCGTGTAAGCCCCTTTCACGCATAAGCCCCTGCCTGGCATAGAACCCAGCTCCAACGGCGTGGAAAACCGAAACCAGCTCAGAAGGTTTTGGTTGTTTAGGGTTTTGGCGTTTCGGGCCTTTCGGGCGTTTTGGGTTCCACAATTCAGGGGTTCGGGGTGGCAGGCCATGAAGAGGTCTGGTTTAGGCTTGATCTCTAAGCATCCTCGTCGAAAGCACTGCGCCCCGCCTGTTACAAACCCACCCTGAGCCCATTCAAGCTTTAACGCACCGGAGCCACGAAAGGCTAAACCCTGACGCCAAGCAAAGCTGTAAAGACCGTCAGACCAGCCCGAAAGTCCGACCCTAAAGCCTTAAACATCTAAGCCCTTCACCCCCAATCCCAAAGACGCCCTAGAGCCATGCCTTAAAGCCGCATAACCCTCTATTCAACAACCGCAAATCTCTGGCAAATCCATAGAGCCATAGAGCCCCGAAGCAGACAACACCTCCAGAAACGACTCCACCGAAACCCTAAACCCTAAACCGTTGCAAGGAAAGCCCTGGATCGCCAAAGTGAACTCGGCCTCCGCCGTCCTACAGGCTTTGTCGGGTTTTAGGGGATACGGGTTTAGGGTTTAGGGTCTAGGGTCTAGGGTTTTAGGGGATACGGGTTTAGGCTTTCACGGTTTTGTGGCTTGAGTCCGTCATGACTCTCTTGGTTTCGGAGTTTGCCTTTCTGTCACCTGGTGTGTTGGAGGTTTAGGAGCCTACCCTGCGTTCCCGCAAACCTTTTTTGCAACAAGGACTCGCATGGAAATCCGAAAACCGTCAACCTGACTTCAACTTTTTGGTTCTGGGTTTTTTTCGCCAGATTGCCTTTAATGTCTCGTGTTGGTACCTCGTTGTGCTTGTGGCCAACATCACAAGTTCGATTTCTTGGGCTCAAGAATTCAGCAATCGTATGCCGCAGCCTGGCCCCAAACTCCGACGCCGGTCACCTTCCATCCAAAACCAAACCGGCTCCTTGAACCCAAAGGTACGTCCTAAAAACCCCGAGGCCCTGAAACCGGTTAGGCTGTGGTCGCTGGCACTGTTTGCGCCAGCTTAGCCCGCCGCGGGTGGAGCGGCATGGCGCAGCTTTAGAGCCAAGGTAATGCCCCGGTTCTAAACACACATATCCTACACCCTAAACCGTAAACTCGAAACCCTAAACCCCTAATTCCTAAGCCCTAACCCCTAAACCCTAAACCCTAAAACCCTAAATCCCCCAAACCATACGCCTTTGAAGGGGGCGGAGTTCCGGAGTTCAGGATCCCCGGAGGGATCCGGAACGGCCGAGGTGACGCCAAACCCTCGAGCTCTCAAAGGAACCCCTTAAAGGAACCCTAGAGCCTAACCTAACCAAACCCTAAACTCTAAACCCTAAACCCTAAACCCATCAAGCCCTAAAGCTCCTTTCTTTCCACATTTTTTTGGGGGGACCGAGGCGATACCACGTTAATGCAGCTTGGCTGTGGCAGCTTCGCTGCCGCCTCCCTGGCGATTTTCTTCTGGCCCCTGGCTGGAAACCATGGACCTACCAACACCTGTTTGTTTTGTCGGGCCTCTCTCTCTCTCTCTCTGTCCATCTATCTATCTATCTATCTATGTATCTATCTATCTATCTATCTATCTATCTATATATATATATACATACATGAATTGAGAGTCGATACTAAGGTTTACAACCAAACCCTACCAAAAGCAGTAGCTTGTGGTAGTTTCCCGTAATTAAGCCCAACAATTCCTCCATGCGGACCTTGACCTTGCACCGTTGAAGTCTGCTTAACTACGGCTGGCCCCACTCTTTTTGTTTGGGCTTTTCTGGGTTACGGTTTCTTTTGCGTGCGTGTTGGGCTAGACCGGGCTGCTGGACAACGAGGCCTCTTGCAAAAAGGGGCCTCCAAAAGGTATAGCTTTGATAGCCGACTTACTTCGTAACGCAAGTGAAACCCTAAACCCTAAGCCCTAATGCGGGCTCGTCCTTGCCATGTGCGAGAGCAAAAGCCCTAACCCCTAAGCAGCCTTGCACTGGGCCTTGCACCGTGAGGTCCTGTCGAAGGTTGCAGATTCGGTTTCGAGATCTGGTTTGAGGGAAGGACCCTCGGAGCCTGAGGCCGCAAAACCCCTTAAGGCCTGAAGCAAGCCCTCAACCCCTCCCAAAGCCATAATACAATACATGCTCGGAATTATAGTACTTGGGGCCTGTATTAGGTTCCCTGGTTTTGCAAACCCCCATGACAAAACGTCTTGGCGAGAAAGGCCTGTCTGAAAGCAAAATTGATGTCTGCTGTTTGCTCGCCGTTCTAGGTTTTCGGGCTGGAGGATATCCGTGTTCCGACATCCTGGGTTTCTCCAGTATCAGGGACAAAGCCTCAACAAGTTTATGTTCAAAGACGCTCAGATGCTTCGCATAAAAAACCCTTCAAGAGCTCTAGAACCTAGGAAGCCCCCATCATAACTACCCGAATCCCAACACCCCACATTTTCGAGCCTTTTTTAACAAAACCCTTTTGGGTACCTCTGTAGGCAGAGCCCCGAAGCGATCGTGGCTTCTGCGCCCCTCGCCGCTGCCGCCAACTCGGTGCTGCGAAGTTTTCCCGCAGCGTTGCTGAGCGACTGGGCCTTCGGGTTTTTGGTGGTTTTAGGGTTTAGGGTTGGGGCGCTCCGTAAAAAGGGGTTCCTTTAAAGGGATCTATGAGGGTGCTATAGGGGTTCAGAATGAGGGGGTTTAGGGGTTGAGGGGCTGAATTCATCAGGGCTTGGGATGTCGGGTTTGAGGTACTAGGAATTTAGGATGTACATAGGACTTTGCGGGTTGATCGTCGACGCACCTCAAGCGCTTGGTTGCGGCCAGTGGGTACCACTTTTCCTTTCGCAAGTTATCAGTGGGCAGATTTGCCCGTTTACAATCAACATGAGAAGTCAGAGTTACATCAATCTAATGAACGCCTTCTCTCCCGAAGACAGCACCGCGCCCTGGGGCCAGGTTTGTATTTCCTTGCGGGCCTAGGGTTCTTAAGGGAGGAAGCGGAGGACGCGCATTATTTCAGCCCTCATCGGCCCTCACCCCCCGGCAGCCTCGCTGGCCTTACGCCCTTCGACTCCTTAGACCCTGACCTGCGCACGGGGTGCGGCTTCCTACCGTATGGCTGCGTGAATTGTAGCGCTACAGGATGCTCTGGGTATCACCACGGTGGAGTGGCCTGCGCTTGCTGAAGCCAGCGCTAATTGCTTGCTTGGGCCTGCGGCGCAGGGAGCCAGAGGCCGTAAGACCCAGGCCCCAGACCCTAAACCCCTAAACCCCTTTTAACCCTAAACCCCTATAACCCCCCTAAACTCTAAACCCTCAAGGTCTGAGCCTGATCTACATCATAGGTCTAACACTGAAGTCTTCAAATCCGACCTCGCTTGTGGGCATTGATCCTTAGCTATGCGAGAGGGAAAAACCCTCAACCCCTTGATGTACCCCACAACGCTCAACCCTCAACCCCTTGATCGATACCTGTTTTTTGGAGTCCTTGGGCTCAAGGCAAAGAAGTGCCGGAGCAGCGGCAAGGCGAAGCGATGGGCTTGCCGCTGGCCTGCGAGTTTGGGGCTTGCAGAAAATGGGTTTAGGATTTATAGCTTTGGGACGGTAGGATTTTGGGTTTTCCATTGCATGGTCCATATAGTAGGGTTTAGGATTTTAGGGCGAAGTCTCCGTTGCAAGCCAGTTGCAAACAGGGCGAGATTTTGACCTTTCGCGCCTCCCGCAAGCAAACGTGCAAAGCAGAGGGCTAAAGGCATGCGGTTTGGGAGTTGATGCGATATCGCTGCGAGAGTCGCGTAGGTCCTGGATACTCCGCAACCCTAAACCCCAAACCACCTGCAACCCCGAAACCTGCATGGATCCTGGGTATCGGCGGGCAAAGCATGGTTTTTAGTAGGTTGAGTCTTATGGGATGCCTTGTTGTCTTTGAGCTCCACTGATTCGAGTCGATTCGTTTCACTTCAGTCAGACCTCGAACCATATGCCTCGCCTGGAGTGTCCGAGTGTGAGCGCCGAAAGCCCAATCGGTAACTTGGTTTTGCAGGTAACCCCTCAGCTACAGAGATGCTACAGGGAGGAGCCAGAGAGAGAGCGAGAGAGAAGGACTGGGAATCGGAAGGAATGGAGAGAGAGAGAGAGAGAGACACACACAGACTGGGGGCTTGGCCCTCGGGCCGGAGGGGTTTTCCCCTCAAACCCCAAGCAAGCAAGCAAGCAAGACACACAGACAGAGAGAGAGAGAGAGGGGGCGCAGCGAAGCGAAAAAAGAACAGTGAGGAAAAGAGGAAGAGATAGGTTTCGGGGCATCGAAAGGTAGGTCTTCCCCTCGCCACCCGAGGCTAGATGTGTGCTCCTCTGCCCTTCGCGTGGCCGCACCTGTCTTGGCCGGGCTGCTTATGGACTGCCGGAGTTCGGGTGTTGGCTTAGGGTTTTGAGGGTCTTGGTGAAATGGGTTCTGTGCTAAAGGCGGTAGCTGAGATGTTGAACTTCAGCTGAATCAGCACATACTCGAAGAAAGTGCTGCAGCAGGCTCTCAGCCGCAGTTTCGCCACTCCGAGTCAGCATTTTCAATCCCTTTCGGCCGGGTGCCGCTCGCCTTGTGCCGGGAACTATTTTCGGTGTGTCAAAGTCCAAGGTCCTCGCGTCCTCTTATCATGCTTGAACCCATGTTTTTGCAGGGACACGACTCCGTGGGAAGCATAACGGCATAACAGTTTAACAGGGAAGCGTCAACGCTTCAGTGGTGACGAGTGACAGGCACTGGAAAGGGACATCGCCACTACTGTGGTTACTACTTTCAACAGGCCTCTGAAACTTATGCACCCATAGGCACGTGGCTTCCGCACAAAACAGGCCATATCTCCCCGACAGTGCCAGGGTTTAGGGTCGTGGGTTATCGAAGTCGAATCAGGATCTTTCGAGCCTCTTCTTTCACAGACGTGCAACCACGATCGTTTGCTACTTCCTTGAACTGCGAATATTTGTCTCCTGAACCTTGAGATCCTTGAGTTCAGGACAGCTTCGGCGGGCCTTCCGCGTTCCTTTTCCAAGCGGTTCTGTTCCTCGCGGCCGTGGTGGGACTGACGTTGCGGCAGCGGCGCTGGGACAAAGAACACTTGCGATGCAGACTCTGCAGTGCGGGGTTTTCAAGGTTCAGGGCTGACCTGCTGAAGGGTTGCAAGTTTTGGGAGGCTTTGATTCATCTGCTCACTGGTGGAGCAGCCGAAGGGGAGCAGGCTAGACTCGGCTAGACTGTTTGGGTTGAGGGCCTGCAGGGCTTTTAGCAGAGTTTCCTGAGCAGAGGCCTCATCATGCCTCATCTGCTTGCAGCCACGAAGTTGATGGTTTCAGGCGTCTGGCTCATTCCAAGCAGGGTTAAGCTGGGCCAAGCTTGCCGATTCGGCTCCCTGTCCCAGCCTGTTGCCAGGCTCCTCAATAGCAGCTTTCCTTCACCAGGAGCTTAGGGAGGTTCTTCCGAACCGGAAGCCTTAAACTGAGCCCACCCGACAGCCCGAAGAGTGCCATGAAGTCATGGCTCCGTGGTGGTTCTGGAGCTATGTGGTGGTCACGGTTGTGGGCGCCGGGCTGCACGACCGCGTGCGGGAGTGGAGCGCGAAGGCATCATTTGCACCTCACACCTAGGATTTGTGAGAGGGGAAGCCGGCGGTAACAAAGGTCGATGTCGTACTACGCTAGTGACAGCCACATGGAGTGAAATTCAAGAGACTACCATGGTGGCCGAGCTGATGTTTCAGTCCGCGAACCGAAATCCTGGGCCCGACCCTGCTGTTTTGCCTGCAGGTATCCGGCGTCTGTTCCTAGAGGGGCGTTCTTGAAAGCAACTGATGTTCAATGTAACTCCACGTGCATTCTCAGTATGCATCAAATGTACGATGATCTAAGCGGATATGTCTTGGTAGCGGTGCAGGATGGTGCAGAGGATAGAGCTCTCGAGCAACGAGACTTCGAAGTTGTGTTCAGGTGCATCCGCTCGAAGACAAAGCCTCCTAAACCGTAAGCCCCCGTATTACCTTATCATAGAAGATCCTACTAATTTGCTGCGTTTGGGTCCCCCTGTCTCCGAAACTCTCTCTTTAGCGTTAGGGGCAATTCCCGGCCAGGCCAGCCGGGAGGTCCAGTACATCACACAGATGCAACCGGACTCTTACGGCTAGAGTAAGAAGCCTTTTAACTTTTTTGGGGTAATAGAGACCGTATAGAGTACGCCAAACCCAGAAACCCTGCTTTAAACTTCTAGCTTGCCTGTAAGTAAGGACTTGCTTTCCGGCGGGCAACCCTGGTGCGATCTGGGCGGCTACCACGTGGCGACGTATGTCCGCTTGATCGAGGACCCGCAGAAAGAAGCGAGCTTCTTTATAGAAAGGGTTTAGGGTATTGGTCGTGAAATTCACTAGAAATGCTCCTAGTAATATCAGAACGACCAGGAAAGCAGCCGTAATGACAAGCAGCGAGACTGGTAGCGGCAGCAACATGTAATGCTTTGCATGTATTCTTATACTTGCAGCTGAGTACGTATCCCATATTGCAGAAGAACGATCATACCCGTCCCGCAGGAGGGTAGCTGCTTCGGTAGCTAGGGGCTCGTAGGGGTTTGTGTCTCTATGCTTGACTTTCTGTGGTTGGGGGGGTTTTGCCTAGCCGAACCCCCAACAAGTAAAGCTTCGCGCGGGTAGCAGGGCTCGGGATCCGATCCTACAGTAGGACCAGTACAAGGGGGTTTCAAAACTAGCGGGCCTTCATGTAGACGTAGTAAACTTATAATTCTTTTTTCAAGGACCTATACTTCTAAAGTCTATAAAGATAAGACATTCCCAGACTGACGACGCCGACATGCCGTAAGGCAAACCTGTAACCCTGGAATCCTTGAACCCAACAAGCCACAAATCCCAAACCCTCCAAGCCGAAACCAGAAAAACTCGAGGAACCTAACAGTGAGACCGCAGGCCCCTAGCCCTAAGTCTCACTAAGTTCGAGGTTCTTACTCCGACTTGTCGTGAATCCTTGCCAGCCTGGTGCGAGTGTGAGAGTCCAAACCTTCATGTGACATGCCCTAAGAGTTTAGGGATTAAGGTTTAGGGTTTAGGGTTTAAACCCCGCAAGCCCTAACGCCAACCCCGAAACCTCAGACCCCCAACCCCTGAACCCTAAACCCTACACCCCTACACCCGAAAACCCTAAACCCCGCACCCGAACGCCCTAGGACTGGCTGCAGCAGTACTTGGAGGCTCGACCCGCGGAAAACACGAAACCCTTAAAACGCTGAACCCTAAACCCAATCGTGCCCTTCTGAATTCCATTCAGGGAGCCCTTTAAGCAACCCTTTTGAAACCGGACTTGATGACTGCCAGCACTGCCTCCTCTGCCGTTCTTCAGCCGAGGCCCGAAAACGTTAGCACACAAGCACTCCACTCCCTTGGATAGGCACTCCACGCAACGACCACCGAATGTTGAAGCCAAACTTCCCTGACCACATGCGGCAGCTCCAACAGCACACAATCCTGAATATCGGGATCGACGAGGACATCAATGTTCTTTAAGCAACCCTAATCCCTAAATTACTCAAAATATCCCAGCATTTTCAGTGCCCAAAGCAGCTCTTGCTGAGGCGCCAGATCTGGTTGATCCGACTCTTCGGCCCTTCCTCCTCGCCTCGAAGACAGCCCTCCGAACTGGTTAAGGGCTTAGTGTTCTGGGTGTAGAGGAGTCCAGTAGCAAGAAGGGTAGAGGATGCCTTAGCTTTTTGAATTTTTTGTTAATACTTCATAGTATCTTTTCTGAGGTCCTGCATGCTCTGGAGCCGCAGAGCCCGAAACCTAAACCTCAAATACTGAAACCCTGTATGCATAAAACCACGAAGCCGCTGAACCTGTGAAGTGTGCCGGAAAAAAACTCAAAAAACCTCCCTAAACCCTAAACCCTAAAAATCCTCAGGCCGCCCATGCCCTGCCTCAATGTCCGCAGCTGGTGCTTCCGGCGCGGCTGATAAGTACGGAGTGGCAGCTTCATCAGCTGAAAGGCAGCAAGGACTGGCGGCTCCCAGAGAGCCCAATACCCCCTTAATTAAGGAATAGACCTTAAATTCTAGGGGCCTAGGGGTATTGGGCTAGCTGTTTTCTGTCCAAGGTTTGAGCTAGGTAGGGCGCTGGGACCAGTTCCGTTCCAGAATGTTCCTCATTGAGTCTAACAGGATCCTGTTTCAGTATTTTTTTGAAGGACTTCAAAGGGCCAACCTAGTTAAGTAATATGTGATCTTAAGACGGCTGAAGGTTTAGGGACTCCGAAGGTTTAGGCAAGAAGTCATATCCTGGAGCTAGGCGGGCTTCAAGTGCCAGCAACCACTCAGAGTCTTGTAGCATCTTGATACAGGGAGTCTTGAAACCTATCCCCGCCATTAAAGCGATATCAAACCCTAAACGCTACTTGCATCCTCAGGCTGATGTTTAGGCCTTCTGCACTCCTGAAGGCGGCAGAGGCCAAGAGTGGGCTCTACAGCTGTGGGGCTTAGAACTTTCGGGATGTAGCTTTCGCATGTCCGATTTCGGTGTTTTAGGATTGAGGCCTTCGGGTCGAGTGCTGGAGTTTCCCGGTTTCGTCCGGATCTCGGCGTTCTTCCAAACTACCCGTCGAATCCCCAGTTCATACGAGTGCAGAGCATGGTCTACGGAAGTCTGCTACTTGCATGGCCCATCCTAGTGCATCAGACTCTATAGGTACCTATTCGGGATAGTTTGAACCTTTCCTTCGTGGTTTGACAAAAAAAGCCCTAGCTATGATTCATTTTCAAATTGTTGAAATCGACACCTAGCACTGTACTGGAAAGGATTCCCTTCTATCCGGCCTGATCCTCCATTCTGCTGACGTCGTCGAGATGCTCTTCCTGCATATCAAGATCCTTGGCCTCTACTCTGGAGGGTTTAGGGTTTAGGGTTTAGGGGGTTTGGTAGAAGTTAGAGTTGTGAAAACGCTGTTTCGGGATGTGAGACTGCGTTTGGCACCGACACGTCCTTGCTGTGCGATGCGGTGCGATGATGACCCTGGCCTGGAAAATGTGGAGCGGCGTGTTTATTAGCAAGGAATCGAAGCTTCCCCTATGCAATTACCCCAATCAAGGTACTTCGCATCTGAAACTACGACAGAGTGAATAAGACTCCCTCAAGTCAAGTCGATTTCTACGACCCCGTTTCAGAAAGAAGACTCCACGGCGTGCAAGATCTCAGGTTTGGGGTTGTTGAGCGTGAGGTTCAGAAAGAAAGCGAGCCCTTATAGATTATAGATCCCTCTAGAACCCCTCATAACACCCTTCCGAGACCCCCTCGCTATGTCTAAGGATCCAGGAGAAGCTGCCAGCGCTATTCCAGCATCACAGCACCGCGATGCTCTCGTATCGCGCCTGGCAGCGCACGCTGGCGGTGCTGAAGACCTGGAGTCTCGGCAAAGCCAAGGAAGTTTAGGGTTCGGGAGTAGTGAGTAAAGTAGTGGTGGTAGTACTAGTAGCAGCCGCAGTATCATGGTTATGATTTTAAGGTTTTTTGAGGCTTTGAGGATTCGGATTTGGGGTCTGAGGCTTCATATTCCAAGTCCTCGCTGTGTGAAGGCATCGGATTGTAGCTGGGATTCACACTCTTTGGTTGGGAGGTCGATCCATCACCTTCGCCATCACTGTCAATATCCTTGTTGCCGCATAACCCTCGGCCCTAACTAAGCCCCAACAGGGTTAGTAGGGGTGGTAGTAGGAATCGTCGTCGGCGCCGTAGTAACCCATGGTAAGGGACAAGAGCCAGGTTCAGCTACAAGGTCCGCCCTTACATTTTCGCCAGCGACAACAACTGCGCTGGGCAGTGGTGCTTCTTCGAACCCTGTGCCTGGGCTGATCCACGACCTGGGGGTACGACCGGTGCATATGCCTGTACATGACTTGTATGTGTGTGTGTGTATATGTATGTATGTATATACCGTTATACATGCACATACATACAAACGCACGCATGGATATGTGGAAGGTGCTCCTGTGCCGTGGTTGACACATCCAACCCTTCAGCAAGCCATGAGAGCACCCGAAAGAATCCTCCAGATCCCGTAAACCCTTAACCCTAAATCTAGCTTGTGAGCATAGTCCGCAGACATGCGAGAGGGAAGAAACCGATCCCCCGACTGTGGCAGAGGTGAGGAATTCTGCCCAACCGAACTGTGCTTCGACGCACGGATCGACTGGGCCCCGTGGCACACATCTGTTTCCAACCGTTCGGCCGGGATGGCTTGGAGTTCGGGTCCGGGGTTAGTAGGGTTTGGAGTTTTTCGGCCGGGCAAGCTCCAATCAAGCCTGTGCAAAAGGGCTTATTGTTCGTGTTGCTGGCAGCATCATCACCATTTTCGTCATTGGTGTCTGTGTCAGTTACCCGCGGTGCGATTACCGACATTCACGTCTGGTGTCGTGGCCGTTGAGGTTTGAGGTGAAGCTGTTATGACGACTTGTGCTCAACCGCATGCTTCTGACTGTGCGTCTTCGTAGTGTTGGTCGGATGCTCTAACATAAGTCACCGCTGCTGCTGCTGTTGCTGCTGTTGCTGCCGTTTATGGGTAGGCCCGTTTTGGTCGTGATTGGGGTCGCTTGGTATTGTTGCGGTGGTGGTTTTGGTGGTGGTAGTTTTTATTTTTTGCTCGGCTGCTCAAGATGCGGTTGCTGATGATTTTGCAAGCCCTGTTGTTATCGTCATCACCGTGGTGTTAGTAGTGGTGACAATGGTGGTGGCTGCGGTGTCTGTGCTAGTCGCAGTTTTGTTGTTGTCACGATCGTCGTTCTCTCGCTTTTCTTGTTGCATTTGCTGTGGCTGCTATTGCGGGTAGTTGGTGGTAAGTTGAACTTAATTGCTAGGCTACGGTAGTTCCATAATCGTGACCAATTTTGAGCCAGCAGCAGCCGCAGCAGCAGCAGCAGCAGGTGCAGACCTTGCAGTCGGCACGTGAATGGACGTGGACGCAGAATTCGAACCCACCGGCTGTTTCAGCATCGAGCCCGAGGCGACTATATGTCACTAACCCGCCGTGTGTCATCTTGACAGCTCCCTCCTTGAGTGTTCGAGAGTTCGAGATGGGAAACGGGCCAACAGAACAGCAAGTTGCCCCCGATCAGGATGTCAGAAGGAAATCCTGAGGGTCTTCACATCTTGTAGGCCATACATCCCCACATCCCCGAGAACGGTCACCGGACGACGACGATTCGAGATGCCCAAGGTCGAAAACAGCTTCGAGCATTTCCTGGCGGTACTCCACAGACTGCTCACCGCCAGGCCTATCTTCGGGAAGAGAAGCCGTGTAGGGAGACCAGCTGCACACCATACCGCAATACAAGCAGATAGCACCACGGTTCTCCTCTTGTATTCAGGGTGTGGGGCTTAGGGGCAACAAAACCCAACATCCCGACAATGTATGTAACCGGACATCGGTTACAGGAGTGGGAGTCTCAGATGCCTGTTGCTCTAGCGGCTTTTAGTGGCTTAGTATCTAGGTCACTAGGTTGTTAGCACTGGCACCCTAACTCGGATTATCCTTGTCATTGCCTGTTAAAGTATGAGCTAGCTAAAGTTGACCTCACCCAAACCCTCTGCCCTATGCCCTAAAATTCTTAAGTCTACGCCTACGACCCTCACCTAAACCCCAACTCGCAAACCTTAAGCCCTAGCCTATAAGCCCCTACAGCGCCTGAAAAAAACCGCTCTGAGTCATGACCCTACAGGGGTTTCCTTAAAACCGACCCTAAACACTAAAGCTCGTAACAGCACTGAGAAAAGGAGCCTTCAAGAACGCAGCAAGCTTCGTAGCAAGGCCCGGGGTGCCTTGGCCGACCTACGCTTACCTTGGGACCGAGATTCGTGCGGCCCGGCGGCGAGGTGTTTTCTCAGAGTTTGTGCTTGGGGGCCGGGAATTTAGGGTTACTATAAAAGCCCCAATCATTGCCAATACTATTCCTTGCTAGATTCTCCCTGTTCTAATTATTGAGGCTTCTACTTAGGGGCTGAGTAGGTAACCTTCAAGTTTTGGGGCTGATCTAATCCTTCTAGAACTTAACATGTTAACCCTTCTTTGGCTAGGGTACTCAGCCCCTACGTGGAGGTTCGTGGGTAGTTATAAGTATGCGTTATATGTCCCCTAATATGGGTTATAACTATCGTCACCTTAATTACAACCCACCTTTAACTACCCATGAACCTCCAAGTAAGGCTATATATGAAGGGCCTGGGAGCAGATGAGGTGATACTTTTACCTGCCCTCATAAACGAGGATGCACGGCTTAGGGTTTAGGGTTTAGGGTTTAGTTTAGGGTTTAGGGTTCAGGGTTTAGGGTTCAGGGTTTAGGGTTTAGGGTTTGGCCACCAATAACTAAACAAAATGCCAGTGGCGTGGTTGGGAACGGCGGCATCAGTAACCGGGCCTGCATTAAAGGGTACAGACTTTGTCTTTTTGGCACAACCTGCCTACCAAGTGGTATGAGGGTCACTTGCAAAGTCTGCGTTTGGGTCATTTGTGACTTGTCGCTTCTAACTTCCATTCTGAGTTTACCAGTTGAGAGCCTCAGGAATACCGCCACCTTACTGCAGCTCGTGCGCGCACTTGAGACCAGGCAAACAGCCACAAGAACAGGAGTGATTTTTTGCTTTCCGGTAGCCAGAATGCCACGGGACAGCGCGAGCCACAAGTGAGCCAAAAGCAGAAGTCACAAGTGACCTACCTTTTTGCAAATCAGGGAGTGCCTGTGGCTGAACCATTTTTTAAAGCTGTGGGGTCTAGGGGCCGGGATTTCAGATTCATGGTCGCGCGCGCTACGTAGGAGAACCCTACGCCCCAAAGTACCAACATTAGGCCCGAAACCCTTACCATAGCACTGGTGAAGCGATGTTGTGAAGGGCTTCATTGCGCCCCCTTGCATTTACAGAGTTCTCCGTGGCCCCCCCCAAAATCGCATGAATAGGCATCCTCCCGAAATCCTAGAGATCATCCCCCTAAATGAGAACTTTTTTCTATACGCGTGATACTGTAGTCTCCAGGGTTGACGCTCACCAGTTCCAGGTGATTGATGGGAAGGAGGTGGTCCCCATCTACGTAGGCAATTCGAAGGCTTCCGTGGATGGCGGGGTGTGCCTGGGCCCTGAAGTGCTTTTAGGGTTTAGGGTTTAGGGTTCAGGGTCTGGGTTTAAGGTTTAGGGTTTAGGGTCCAATCGGAAAGTAGGGTGAGGTGTTGAATTCAGGTCTCCTAGGATGTATCGGTTGCTGCCCGCCCTCGACTGGCAGCTCCAAGCCCTCGTGCTACTATATAGTATGAAAGAAGTTGACCGAAGCGGCACCAGGGATAAACATTGATTGGGTCTTTGGCTGCTATTTGGTTGGACCAGGAAAGCGCAAAAAAACCTCATCAAGCACATGCCCAACATCCAAGCCGAGTAGCTGCAGCAGCCAAGCGTGAAAGCCAGGACCTAGTACAGGCAATCAAATACAGGCACAAACCAGCCTATATCAGCAACTCGTTTCATCAAAAGCACATATGGCCAAAGGCCAGTTTCGTAGCGGGGGCTCAATTCTGTGCTCATGGTAGTCGTCACCGCAGTTGTAGCTGCCTGACCAATGACCCAAAGGATGGGCCCGGCCTTAGGCGGGGCTTTCACGTTTCCGAGGACAGGCTGCAGAATTATGTAGGAACCTGATTAAGAAGCCCCGGTTTAATAACCCCAAATAGTATACACACTGAGAACCCCAAAAAGAACCCAAGGTTGCTTGGCCAGGTTCCCACAGTAGTCTTCAAGCTCATTACGTAGAGTCCCGGAGGTCGTGAGGAAACGACGGTATTTCCAAGCCAGGGTCCGGTCGAGGGAAATCCAAGCAAGCAGGTCTTGAGTTAGGCTTTAGGGTTTTAGGATTTTAGGGCTTTAGGGTTTATTTAGGGTTTTAGGGTTTAGGGATTTTGGGTTTAGGGTTCAGGGCAAAGTGCTCTGCAGCCCCTGCTCAAAAAAAGGGATTTAGGGTTTCGGGTTTGGGGGTTTTGGGGTGTTGGGGAGTTTGGTGTCATGGGATCCAGCTTTGCTTGTGGATGGGCTGTCATCTAGGGTAAGAGAAGAGGTTCATGAAGGATTTACCACATGACAGCTCTGGCAAGCTCTGTACTTCCAGTTTGTGGTAGTTCTGAGACTTAGACGTTTCCTAAGCCCTAATTCCTCAACCCGATGAAAACGCGCGCGGCTTCTGCTGCTTCAGAACTTGTCGCTTTTGAGACCTTAATTTGTAGCAACAGCGAGCCAATCAGTAGAGAAGATGAGGTTTAAGTGGCAGGTTTGGGTCCCGGACACCTGAACAATTAGTGAATACATAGTTCCACAGTTGTTGGGTTTAAGGTTTGTTTGCAAGGCAGTTGCAAGAAGGGTCTTATTGAAATTGAATTTCGGGTTTGGGGGTAGTATGGATTGTAGTGACCGTCTGCCAACCTCGAAGACTGTCCTTTGAACCCCGAGGTATTTGGAGTATGGCTGCGACCGCAACCGGACTGAACGGTTCTGCGGGTGATGGGGTTTCTGGGGCCTCGGTTCGTTTCTCCTGAGCAGCACGGGGTGAAGAGCCTTGTATCCTAAACCTACATAAATCCCAAAGCCTCAAATCCTAAGCCCCAATGCCCTCAAGCCTTCCATCCTAAACCCAAGAGCCCGAACGACCGGCACCGAGGTGAGCCTCCCGGCACGTGGCCAGAAGCCCTTGAGCGAGCCTTCCATGTGACCCTGACGGCCCGTGAGCTGAAATGAGTTTGCGTTTAGGCGTGTTTGTAGGGATGATGTTTATGGGGTCCGGCCGTAGAGGGTGTGTGTGAGCAAGGGGTTTGGATGGGTTTCGGGGCTCGGATTCTCATGGGGTCACGCTACAGGGCTGTAAAGGGGGTTTAGGGTTTAGGCCTTTGGACCGGTCTTTCATGCGGTTGCCCGGCCTCCGGGTTTATTGGTTGTAGAGTTTGGGGACGTTTAGGGCGGCTAGAACCAGGTGCATCGCCGACCCTTGTTCTGATTTGGGGCCTAAGCCCTAAGCCCGACATCCCATCTCCGTTCGGCCAGGTCGGTTGCTTGGCCATGCGCATCGCCATGGAGCTCTTATGTGCTGCCGCGGATGCCAACATACTGGAGATCAGCCGATCTCTATCCCGGATCACGATGGCTGCGGTGATGGCCACGATTTCCGCCGATTGCCCGCTCCTGAGACACAGTTCGAGACAGCCGAGGGGTTGAAGGCGCACAGGATGCAGGGTGTTGTGCTGCACGTCCCTTCAGAATGAGGAGGGCTTGGGAATAAGAGCCGCGATGCAGCATAATACTAGGGGCCCTGAATGATTGGAATAGGGTTTTGGGGTAGATTCTACAAGAACAATAATGAGAATACTGGGGGAATGATACTGGCATTTATTGCCGCTTCTACATTGGACTCCTAGATCTTCTGCAGCTGTTTGTTTTTCAGTCCTCAGGCTGTCCATCGAGAATTCGGTTGTTAGCTTCAGGGCTAAACGCTTAGAGGTTCTGTCGATGCATCTGTTACCATCCGGAGATCGAACACATCTATATGCGCGATATAGGGGTCCGAAGAGTGGTCAACATTGTTCCTCAGATTTGTAATTCTAATATAGTATACCCCACAACCCTATTAAATAATATGAAGGTTAATTAATTAAGCAAATGTTGAGCGGCTTAAGGCGCAGGTTTGCTTTTCCTACAAAGCCCGCCATGCCCGTGGTGCCCAGGTGACGACTCGTGGACACTGTTCCTGATTTCTGTTCAAGAAATGTGTGTGAGTTTTTTTTACCGCAATAGTGAGATGAGATGTAAATTTTAGAAGCTTAAAGGGGTTTCCTTACCATGATACAAGTATCTTAAATCAACCTCCTTAGTAGGAATCCAGGTTCTTTCGGCCAGCGACTCTGTGGCACTTCCTGTCCATCGCACATGATACTGCTGGCAGCATCTCCACAGTAGACGAAGCTGGATCAACAGATCCGGGGGCACCGCAGCGAGCTCGTAGCTGGCGCCTAGGACCGCGATGTGCTGGCAGCAGTCCCACTGAAGACCTATAATGTATTAAGTTTGTATTGTATCGTATTGTATTCGATTGTAACATATTGTATTACATGGTCTTATATTACATCAGAGCAAAGCATAGTATATTATGCTATAGATGGTTGACTGGTATTCTAGCGGGTATTTCCGTGCAGCCTTCACTCCTCTACCTTCACCGGGTTCCTAAGGCCCCAATGCCTTGCTCAGTTCGTGTTGTTCGTCACTTATGAGGTTTACCAATGCCTGGGCATTGGCGTCGGAACGCAGCTCCCTGAGATGGGATGGGCCAGAGCTAGCGGTGTGCCCGGTGCAGCTGGAGCACGGTGCGACACTCTCCTGCCGCGGTCTGGAGCTGTCTGCAGCCAGTCGCCATGTGCAAGTCCGCCGGGGATTCTTGCGGTCGTGCATGAGCGCGCCACTTGATTAAACTAGGCGTTCTTTCCCTGTTGCAACATACCAGGAACATCAGACGTCAGGCGGCTTCGCAAGAAGCTTTCACATGCTCAGCACGCGGAGAAGTAATTACAGCAAGGCTGAGATATGGCTTCGAGTCGAAGCCCGCCGAACTGGGCGTGGACTGCAGCAGCCGAACCCTGGTGATGCTCCTCGGTAGCTCGAGCCCCCAAAATCCCTGAAGCCTACACCCTGAACAGCCTGAACCCTGAAACCATACTGCAAAAATCTAGGTTTTACGATTTAGGGCGAACCCTAAGCTCCTAAACCCTCAAGGTTAAGACCTCCTAAACCCTTGGGGGAAACCCTAAACCCTAAACCCGAGGCTGCCCCATGCAGACCTCGTTGGCCACCTGATCAACGGCGTGCAGTGGTTTATGCCCCTGGTGAGGGCCATCTTCCACGACCCTATGGCTGGGCTCTATGGGGTTTCTGAATGTTGGGGTGGCTTTTAGCATCCTGCTATCTAGGCTCTGAATCAGGGTGCCCGGGAGCCCTACTTTCGGAAACTGCCTTTATGGATATCCTTCTCGCTATATAACTCATTGATAAAACTTGATGACGATGTGCTGCATTAGGGATTGCAGCAAACTCGATTACCATATCAGCCCAAGAGCAGTGACCGACGACAGGCTTTGCCCGAAAGCTGGCTGCCGAGCCTGCCTAGAGGTTCAGGGGCGCTTGGTAAGAAGGATCATAAATACGTTGCTTGCATTTGCCTCCCTTGCACACCGTGCCTATATGCCACAATTGAAAACTTCAAGCACTCAAGATCTGCCCTAAACCCTAAACCCAAAACCGTTCTTTTGTCACCCAGGAGCCATGGGTTCTGTTTAGCTGCTCTTCTAGGCCTCGTCGACTGTGTAGCAGCGTGCCCTGTCGAGGTAGTCAGCGCAACAAAAAATCCACAGGATTAAGAATCACTACACAGCACTAAGGCGACAGTTCATAGTGAGCCAGGCCCGAAACATCTCCAAGCCCTTTCTTTATCAACTTGTCAAGCCTCTAACACAGTTTGGTTGGTATTGCTAAGCTGGGAGTGGCCAAAAGCACAGTTTGATCGCCAAAAGCGCTCAATTCCAAGCGCCTTGAAACCAGGATCCTAAAACCCAATAAGGATTAAACATGATCATTTTTGATATAACCCCAACTGGGAACCAGGATCAGAGGCGGCCATCCAATGTGACATTGGTGGTGGTGGACCACGGATGGATCAGTGAAGGCAGGCCTATGCAGAACAAGCAACTACGGTGGGTCCAGGGTTTCCATAGGGGGTTTTGAAGGGCTGTTTGAGCGCATCATAAGGGTTGTGAGATTCTTTACAGGCTCTTCGAGGGTTTCGATGTCTAAGGGATGGGCTGTAAGGTTCAGGATATATTTTCGTAACCAAGGTAACCAAACTATATAAGAAGCGTACTCACGTGGGGATGCTTTTAAAGTTGTAAGTGCACTGAAGCTAGTATCAAATTGAAAACCCTGCGCCCAACCTCCCTTCTTTTGAACCTCCCTCCTCCTACAGCAGAAGCCAGCCCAAAAGTTGGAAACCCAATAGCCTCAATCCTTAAGAGCAATTTATAGGGAATTCCAGCACTAATTGTCCTTAATCAGGTTTCCAACTTTTAGGGGTTGACTATAAGCACCCTTGACGCCCGAAAGGCCTCGGAAAGCCGAAGTTCGCCACCATGGCCTACGAGTCGCGTGCCAAGCCCGGCTTCTTTGCTACAGCCTCCCCCGATTTTCCCTGCGATGTTAGCTTTCATGTTCAGTTGTGTTAGCTTACCTACGGAAAACTCACTCTTGCAACTTCGCTATAAAGGTTTTTGTAAGGAGCTGATACCTGGGCCCAACGAAAAGTAGGTCCACATGAGTCAACGTAACTTCTTTTGAATCTTCCACGGGTTTTGGTGATCGTGGTTCCCACGGAGCTTCGTTTTGGAGTACACTGCTTTATGCACCGTTTTTTGGTTGATCTTCGGAGCTGTGTGTTTAATGGTCTTAGACACAATGTTTGAAACCCTGAGCCCTGAATTTGCATTTGTCGCTTCGAAACCGTGAGCCCTTGCTTTGCCTCCAACGCGCCCAGAAGCGTCGATGCTCCAGTTTGCTTAGCAAAGGGATTTAGGTGTTGGGCTTCGGGTTTATGAACGGCTTTTGTATGTAGGATATCCCTCCTTGCCGTTGCAAAAGTCTACTCATAAGCTGCACGCCAAGCCTTAGAAATAGCGCAAACTCCAGTGCCCTACACCCTAAACCCCCTGGGCCCAGGCTTCTTCTTCGAGTTGCTGCCCGGCGTAAGCTTGAGTTTAAGGCTTACGGCTAGAAGGGTTTTAGGTTAAGGGTTCGGGACAAAAGGTTGCGGTTAAGGCTTTAAGGTTCCGCGATTTTCGGGGATGTCTTTATTGTCCAGACCCCTGGATCGCTGTTCTTGGTTCACTCTGCATTCAACGTTGGGCCTTGTGCAGATCTTGCAGTTGGTTTTGGCTTGGAGTTCCGGAGAGCAAGCATGGAGAGCTGATGAGGTTCTCAGGACTGGAGTATTCTGAATTTGGACCTACTCTCGAAGATTAGACGACACAAACCTGGTTCCGAAGCAGTAAACCCTGGACCCCTTGCCAGCATCTGTACCTCCTGAAGCGGAAGCGCTGCCCCAAAACCCGGATTGTTTTGTTTATAAAGCCCTGCACTGCTTGTGCCAAGACCGCTACAACAGTTAGTCGGAAGAATAGGTAACTTACTAAGTCAAAAATCAGATAATGCAGGTCTTCCTTCCCTGAAAATCAACCACCACATGCCCCTCACAAGCCTACTAAATAAAATGAAGACTCTCTGCCGCCCTTGTGGGAATCGAAGGAGCCTGTTACACAAACCTATAGAAGCCCCAGACACCCTATAATAAAGCTGTTATAAGAGCCCTGTGAAGCCATGCTCTCCGGCGCAAACCCCAAACTACGCCCTAAACCCTGTGTAAGCACATGCTCTCTGGACCGATCGAGGCTGAAGGAGCGGCGCAAATCTCAAACTACGCCCCAAGCCCTGTGTAAGCACATGCTCTCTAGACGGATCGAGGCTGAAGGAGCTGTCGGACCAGCCGCTGCTGTTCCTGAGCCAGCTGCTGGCCCGCGTATCATGAGGGTTTAGGGTTTAGGGCTCAAGGGTTTAGTGTTTAGGATTTAGGGTTAAGGGGTTTAGGGTTTAAGGGTTTAGGGTTTAGAACTCGGCTTGGAGTTTGGAGCCGAGGGTTTAGTATTCGGGGTTCAGGGTCTGTTTGGGCGTTTATGGTTTGGAGCTTATGGGACTCTGTTCCTTGGGGTTGGGTAATATAACTATACTATGACAGACCCCACCAAGCCCTGCTCTAATCATTCAGTCCCATATAGGGTTTACCAGAAGTGAAGTAAGGCTTTATGTTTCATATGTCTTTGTTGATAAGGTTTAGGATGCGGGGGCTGGCATCCGAATTAGGGTGCAGGCTGTGATTGGGATTGCGAGTTTGTGGGTCATCCAATTGTTCCATGGTCTGCAAGAGGTTGTACGACTGCTGCACCAAAAGTTTTTAAAAGGGTAGCTTTTGTTTGAATTGCAAGCTCAGCTGATCCTGGATGCGAACGCAAAGACAAACACCGGCATAATTGTAACCCACTCGGCGCACTAAGACCTCATACTAACTCGGATGCGCGGGAAGAGGCTTGTTCAGGCTGCATTTCGTGTGTTGAACTGTATTGCACCCTTTGTCGGACAAGGCCTTCGGCTCTGAGCCCTAAGCTTCTGAGGCCTTCAAGGAAGAGGGGGTGGGCTATCTAATCAAGTATTCGCCACCGCTCCCCAGCGCTCCCTAAAGTTCCTTAGCTTTTTTTCCTGTTCTCCAGTACGCACGGCAAGCCCTGCATGATCGTGAGGTTTGTAGAGGATACGGCGGAGCCCTGCCCCTCTATGTGCTTCAAGAGGGCCGACACTTGGCCTTCGAAGCCTGAAGGGTTTGGTGTTTCGGGAAGGTCGGCTCTTTTGCTTCTTTTGGCTGGCCAGGATCGAAGTCTTTAGGTTTAGGGTTTAGGGTTTTTTAGGTCTAAGAGCTTTTGGGGCTTGTGTTTCAGCTGCTCAAGGCTGTGATGTTTTCGTGGCCAGAAGGGGGTGGAGGGTGCGAGAGTTACGGCGTTTTAGGGCGGACGGGGTGTTGAGCCCGGCGCCCGACAGACAAACTCAGGTCCACTGTTCGTAGTGCAAGACAGCCTGTATTGATAGCAACTTAAAATGCTGTTAAACCAGATTCAAGATGGAATTCCAGCTGTCGAGCACAGTTGCTTGCTATATCGTTGTGATGGCATGCAGTAGCAGCTAAATCTTGGCATGGACGTATGTACTGACATCTCCTGGTCCTAGGTCCTAGTTACTCGTGACTTGCACTGCCTCGGGAGTGTACAGCAACACAAACTGCAGTACACGGCCTTGCTAAAACCCGAATAAAACTCTCAAAGCCCTTCGTGCCAGCGGAACTAACCTGCTGCAACTTTATCAAAGCCTTTTCAAAGTCCGATTATTAAGCACACCTCTTGGACAGAGCCTGCGTCAAAGATCCTAAAAAATCCCAGCACCTTAAGCCCGAAATCCTACTAATTAAGCACTGAACCCTGTATAACACTATGTCACTATGTCCGTATCATCTCGATTGCCGTTGTGTTCTCAGGAATAGTGTTCAGCGTTCTTGTAGCACAGCTCCAAGGGATGATCGAAAACACCATTAGTCTTATTTCTTCATGACTTATTTTCGTTATAATAAAACCCCTGGGGTTATTCGCAATGCTGCTTCTTTTATGGTTCTAAGTACCTAAACCCTAAACCCAATACCGTAGTTCCCTGTGGTGCGAAGTTGTCAGCTGGGCGGGTGGGAAAACCCTAAACCCTAAACCCCAAACCCTAAACCCTTAACCCTCGTCCTTGCTCAGTGGGAGGGGAAAAAACCCTAAACCCTGAACCCTAAACCCTAAAGGGAAACACCGTTCTAAGGGAGCTTGAGAACCCTAAATCCCAAACCAAACCCTAAACCCCAAACCGTTCTTTGGGAGCTTAAGAAGGTCTGGGGCTTTTCTCAGCTTCACGCTCACTCTTTGGAGCGCCTGGAACAGCGGGAAGGCGTGGTCGTCTACAAAGAGGCCCCAGGGCTTTCCAAGGCTTAGAAACCTAAGGGTTTTTTGTCAGGTTTTAGGGTTGAGGGTTTAGGGTTCGGGATTGCAGGCACTAAGATTAGGGTTTAGGGTTTAGGGCTTTTTTCGGGTCAGGAGATAAGAAAAACAAGGTTAGATGTGATCAGGATTGTTAGCTTGGGTTTCCATTGCAGCACTCTTTTGGGCCAGCGCGCATCGGAATCTATCACTTGCGACCGATGCAAGGGAAGCCAAGCTCGCCATGGCAATTCCTGGAGTCTGGTCTAAATGGCTCAAGCAAACTTGGCACCTGGAATCTGAGCAGGGCCTTTGTAGGACAACCCTGAATGGTCTACGTGGCAACATAAACTTGGTACATTTTGAGGGCCCTAAGCCGCAGCATCTATGTCCTTAGAGCACAACTCCCTGAAGCTTGCCTTCGTTTGCGTGTAGAGGCGGTTGACATTTTTGCGGGGCAGGCATGGAAAGTGCATCGGTCAATGAAGTTTTTTAGATTCTCCAGGGTTCCGGATTACAAGTCTAGTTCGACTATGAAATGCGAAAGAACCCTACTCTAATCATAGGCTTATCGCCCCAACATTATGTAACCCTTGCTCGCAGTAACCCATACTCCTCAAACGTGCCCATTCACATTTTGAAGGCCCCAACATTACCCGGCACAGGCCATGCTGTTCTGGAAGGGGGCCAGTGGCCGCCTCCAACGAGCTCTTAGTACTGACACACGGTTGCAGTCGAGCTCAGGTCATGTAACAATGTCTGACAAAGCTTGCTGGCACATTTTTGCCAAGAGCGCGAAGAACCTTTCGGTCATTGAGGCCCAAAGTATCGCCATTCCCCAGATCCGGTTTGTGCTTTGCCCGGAGCCATGCGCGTTCTGGGCCTCTTCGCTGGCCTTGCATCCGCGGCAGCAGTGTCGCCGAGTGTTTGTGGCAGCCACCCAGAGGCAGTGCCGGATTGTGACAAGCCAGACAAAGGCTCTTGCGGCAATGCATGCTGCGTGGCAGAGCTCGACCTTGCCGTGGATCCGGCGAAGGCTTACGCACAGACCCTCGATGCGTTGAAGGGCTTGAAGGAGGACGGCTTCAGCTACGTTACGGGTGGCGACCCCAATCCAGGAGATGACCTCCGCCCGTACAACATTACTGAGCCGAAGTCCTTCAAGTTCATTTTCCAGGGCCGGCATGATGCTCCCAAGTACAAAGGCCCAAACGCCGACATCTTGGATTTTGCAATCTACGAATCCGGCTCGGGTTCCGTTCTGCGGATGTATTCACTGAGCCGGATCCATGGTGCTCTGGGCGACGCAGGCCAGAATTACAAGACGCTGGCTTTCCTCGCGCAGAAGCTTACCTCCAACAAGCCCACTCCTGTGCATGGTTGTGGACTTCCGGCGGCATCTTCCCCGGTGTCCATTCAGCGTGGGGGTTTCTTCGATCTCGCAATGCAAACCTCCTCAAGTGTCTGCGGACCCTCTCCGTCGAAGGTTCCAGATTGCGACAAACCAGACATGGGTTCGCAATGCATGCTGCATGGCAGAGCTCGACCTTGCCGTGGATCCGGCGAAGGCTTACGCACAGACCCTCGATGTGTTGA